TGTAAATTGAATTATATTCATAGAATTATGTTACAATTTTGTCCTTCTAGTTTCTAATTGGGTGCTGATTTATTGATATAGTAGTAGCGATAGATGAGAATAAGATTGCAGAATGCTATAGGGGATTTGGCATTAAATTTGATAATAACATCATAATCATGTCGAAATGGTAAAATAAGTCCTTCAATGTGCTGTAAATCATGGAAACTTGTGTTCATTGGATATATTGCTAATTTTTGCATGGAACGTGGTAATGAAGCATATCTAAAACTTGGGAACAACTACAATATTGTTGTAAATATCCAAAGAGATGAACCTCTTATAGAACCCAAAATAATAGATCACCTGGTGTTGAAAATTGGGCTGCCTCAAATTTCTTTGGACCGTGTTTTTTGCAAAATAAGTCAGGCCCAAACTTTTTTATAAAAACGTGTTTTTGTGGCAAAACGTTTTTGCCTCTTATGAGGGTTGGGCTGTGTCGTACACGTGGCACAGCCCCAACCCTTGGATCGACTATTCACTTGAACTATTATCTACCTTGGCCCTTTAGTCTTCTGCAGTCGAACAGTTTTTTTGTTTTTCTCTAGAATTTTCTCGTGTACTCTCTTTCTCTCTCTGTGTGAGGGTTTTTCTTCTTCGTGGTTTTCATTCTCTCTGAAAATCTGAAATTCTTTGTGTTGTAATCTTTCATTTTGTAAAAAAAGGTTGAGTGATCTGTGTGATCTTATTTGAGAGAGAAGTTGTGTGAAAGGAGGCAAGATAAAATGAAGAAATCTCTGATTTTTCTTTGAATATTTGTATGATTTCTTTGTGATACTTAGTGGAATCTCGAACATACTCTTGACTGAGGCTCAACGGGTGATTAGGTTCTTTGAACTGAACATTCGGGCTCCTTTTGGAGCAAAAACATATCTGTTGTTATTTTTATTTTTCGCGATTTACATTTCTGCAGTTTTGAGTTTCTTTGTAAAATTGTTTCTAAAATTACAAAATAATAATGTTTGCGACCAACACCCGGTAAAAGCTCTTTAGATAGTATTTATGTCCTGGCTAATGAATTCGATGGTATAACACATAACAAAAAATGGAGAACAAGGTTAAGGTCATACTTTATTATCTTTACTCTTCGTTGAGATAACAATCAATCCCAATATTATTTTTCCCCCATTTACGATAGTTCTTGGCTTCAACTTCTCTAAGAAGGAATATAACTCTAATTCATAAAAAATAAGAGTAGAAAATATGTATCTATGTTTCTTGAGGATTATCACTTCATTTCAATATCCCATGGATTACTTTTCCATCTTATCGAGGACTAATATCATTTCTAATATTTCCATTTGATACTTCAGGGAGATGGGACTTTTTGCCTGAGGTTATGGTGAACCATCTTGCATTATGTGGGAGGGGAGATATTACTGAGAATGAGTTTTATATGCTTGATCAACTTCGTTAGCTTCCAAAATATGTGTTGTACCTGTAATAAGTCTTGCAACTTTAGCCGATAGTAATTTTTTGACACGTTTCCTCATAATATATTTTTTTTTTACTCTAATGATTATGCTTTCAGAGTGTTATTGTAACGAAGCTCATTGGTGAATAATGGAGGAGCACTAAGAGTCCGTTTGATTGGAAAGATGGAATTTGGGTGGAAAGAAAATAAATTTTAGGAAATTGAATTGCCTAGAAATTGTTTTCTTGAGAATTGTAAATTATTGTGTTTGATTGGTATAATTTTTTTGATTGGTATAATTTTCCACGTGAAAAATGTTGAAATAAAAGTGCTTTTTGATGTTCGTTTGACTTTATTTTACATGAAATTTGTCAATTAAATAGATAAATTTTACTGGTATTGAGGATGAAATTTGTTTTCAATTCCCAAATAACAAAAAACAAAAAAATTCAAGAAAATCGTCTATCTTTTGGTGTTTGTTTAGTTTCGTTTTATATGAAAATTGTTAATTAAATGAAAATATTTTTTTTACAATAATCCTTAAAATTTGTTTAAATTGCAAAATAAAAAAATAAAAAATAAAAGAAAAAGACTTGAAAACGTGGAATTGGCTGACGTGGCAAGCTTCCACGGAAAATCAATTCCATTCTACATTTTGCCAATCAAACAACGATAAATTAGAAAGATGGAATTTCAATTCCATTTTCCTTGGAATTTCACCCCTATCAAACACAGCCTAAGATCCTTGCACAATCCAAGGCGCTCTTTATAGAAGTAAGAGTTCTCTCTTTCATCTTCTTTGTCTTTATTTAGTGAGTTATATTTTCCTGAACATTATAGTAGTTGGATGTTCCTTTAGTTTATTATTCACATATTGAAATGACATATTGGACATGCTAGAAGAAATATGTAATCCATCTTCTGCTTTTTGGCAAGATTTGATGGTAAGCAGAATTTTTTTTTTTTTTTTTAGTTTGAACATGGTTTTCATTTTTGTTTCTGCAACTACATTTATCTTGTGAGAAAATGTTTGAGAATTATATGCGAAAATCTGGGGATGTTTGTTTTGCTGAAGTTTCTCATGATGATTCGAAGTCTATTTTGCTTTCAATTATTTATTGGATGATCGCAAACCATTTCATCTCTTTTGTGACATTTGACAATAGTGTACCATGGGAATTTCATTTTCCCTTTTGTAGGACAAATTCTATCAGATGATTTCGTACTTGGTATTGGAGTTTGTTATTCATTTGCACCTCATATAATTGGAGTCACTTTGAAAGTCATTCTTCTGTCTTTTTCTACTGTTGCAGATAGCTTTCATCTTTTTCGTTTTTCCGGGGTACTTATATGATAACATCTTTTTCTTTTTGTCATCAAACTTTCAAAGAATTCAATTCTGTTCCAAAATTATATATGATTTTCGGAAATCTAAAGTGAGGAGACAGTGTATTAGTTTCTGTTCTCTTACATTAAATGACTGACTAACCAAATTATTTAATGGCATATCTGAATAGGAAGATTAAATACTACTTATAGCTTAAAAATTAGATATAATTACTTGTAGTCTCTATTCACTATCATCATCTTTTACCAGCAAATGGCAAATAAGTCAAATAAACATCACAGAGTTAATGCATATGCTTTGTTTTGGTTTTTGTGTTGCTTAATTTAAATTATTAATGCATCCAAGAACTACTTTTATTTTCATTCTTTTCAACTACTCTCTCATTAGTTGCCTAAGTTCGTGATATTTCTCGACTATAGAATGTACTTATACAGCATCTTCTTATGAAAACCGGAAGAATATGAATTATTTCGGGGTTTTTACTCAATGCTTGATGTTCAACAAAGTTAGTCATTAGTCTCTAACTAATCTTTTTGCTAAAGATAAATGCATAGTCAAGCTGTTAAATAAAATTATAATTTGTGTTCAATATTATGACAATTCGCTTTAACAGTTTCCAACCTGTGTACTTGTATCTTATGCCCCTTGCACTATTTTGTAAATATCCGATTGCATGATCCTTCATTTCTATGCCACCAGAATAAAAAGATAACCCGACGAAATTGTTTCAAGTACTTTGTTGTATTCCAAGTTGTCGCATAAATTGTTTTCCTCTTTGTATATTTGAACTTTCTTCTGATACTTTTTCCATTCATTACTTCTCTTTGTTCAAAATTTTAACTCACCCTTATATCTTCATAGAACATTATTTCTTTTATGCAAATCTGTGTGTGGAATTTCAATAATACAGTCTTCCGTCGAACCTTAACATTCAATATGCTAACATTATCTTCAAAATATCACGTTCTGTGCATTGCACAGGCAAAAAAATAGCTCTTAATATAAATACACACCATAAACACCGTAAGATTCTTAAAGTAATTTAACTAGAAATGATAAAATACTTGACTACAGTGACCTTGTCCTAGGTATCCATGGTCCTCACTTGAACCCGACTTGAATCCTTTTTTATGTTATAAATTCTTGTAAAATTTAAAAATAAATAAGTAAATAAAAGGATAAATGAACATTATCCCACCCATGTCTCGTCTGTCGCTACTTCCCTAAAATCCAGATGGCCCGTCTAGTTCTTCGCTCTCATTCTAAATTTGACCCTCCTCCCTCAACTTCTTTTTAGCATGTTTGGTACGATGATTAAGAGTACTTCCAGAAAAATCTCTAAGCATTTATATTCTCTATTTTAAAAAGTCAATACTTAAAAATAAGCTCCATAAAATTTTCTATTTTAAGTTTTTAAAATAAAGAGTGAGTTTGGCTCTCCAAATTTAAATAACCAATCTTACTCTCTATTTTTTAATGTTCAATGATTGTATTTGATACATTACAAAATTGAACACTCTACAATTTAAATTATTTTATGTTTGATTCTCATTTTCTCCAAAATACATTTTTTCATTTCTTCTTTTCAAGCACACATTTTTCATTAAAATAATATTACATGTAAATCAAAAACTTTTTCTTATATTTCAATCACACACTTTTTATCAATTTATTATTCTAAAATACATTTTTTTTTCCATAAAAATAGGGCTCAACCACCCTCTCAAACTATATTTGAATTGATTGACCACTAACTTATAAAAAATTATGTTAAGTTAGACATGAAAATAAATTATCAAATGTAGATTGAAAAAAACAAAATAAAGAGTCAAAATAAAAAATTTGTTGAAGTATATAAAAAAATTATTCTCTAAATTTAAAGATGTCATTAGATACTCTTCTCTTCGTAAATAGATAATCTAGTCTATCTTACATTTTTACCCATAACTCTTTTTTTTTTTTTTTCTCTCTCTATTTCTGTCTGCCTTTATTTTTGATTTCCAATTCGATCTTGAAAAGATGAAACGACTAACCCCCACCAACTTCCTCATTACTTATTAGCAATAAATGGCATTTAAATTCCAAACGTAAACTCCGTTTTATCCTCTATATTTCCAATATTTCAGGCTACTCCACGTTCTCCAAGGAGGATGTTTACGTAATTCTATATCTACCCCCTTGCTTCTTATATCTATACGCCATGCCATCACAATTTCCACCCGTCTTGCAAAACCCAAACTTTCACGCTAAAAGAAACCCATTCACTCTTCCTTCAATCCCAATTCCATCAAAATGTCGGCCCAAAGAATCGAATCTCACCGAGAAAACGCCGAAATATACACCGACGAGACGATGTGCAAGCAAAAATCCCTTGAACTTCTCGAGAAAATCAACCTCCCCAAGGGTTTGCTCCCTTTAGACGACATCGTTGAGGTTGGCTTCAACGAGGCTTCCGGGTTCATCTGGCTGAAGCAGAAAAAGAGTAAGACGCACCAATTCCGTTCAATCGGTCGCAGCGTATGGTACGATACAGAGGTCACGGCGTTCGTTGAGGACCGTCGGATGAAAAAGCTGACAGGTGTCAAGAGCAAGGAGCTCCTGATCTGGGTAACTATTTCTGATATTTACATTCAGGACCCCAGCTCTGGGAAAATCACTTTCGGCACCCCTACTGGTATTTCCAGGTCTTTTCCAGTGTCGGCGTTTGACGAAGAAGAGGAGAAGAAAGATAAGAAATAACAAATTTGGAGGGTAGTTTCGGTAATAAAAATGGATGTGTTTAGGGAATAATATGTGCGTGTATTTTGTGTAAGTTTGGTACGACTCGATGTGTCTGTATGAACTATTAAAGTATTTTATGAATTGCTAATGAAACTGGGGTTAGTATTCTGAAATTTAACTTATTAAGCTCATAGATTGCTTATATCGAGAGTTTCTAAATTTTTTTCATTGTTAATGATACTAAAATGCAAAATCGTTTGCCACATCTGGGGAGGCTTTTGAATAATTTCCAAGTTCGCGACATCAGATTTGGACCGTCTTAAAAGTCAACTATAATAAAAGGACATTCGATCCATTATTTGAACAAACTACAAATTGAATTAGTCGCTGTTATGCCTTCGTGGATGTCATGTGCAAGACATATGGGAGTAAACGCACCGGGTAGGGACAGCGCTGCCGAGTCTCCAGGAATTAGTGCGATAAACCACAAGAGCACTGCTGGAGCCGAAGTGTCTCATCGAAGTTTATGAGAACTTTGCTTGTACCAAAGTGCCTTGAACGAGGTCCACATGGTCATCCCTCTCATGAAGAACGATCTTCGTGGATGGCTCGCTCCAAAGCCAGGCGAAGTGGTCACAAACTTCGACCATCTCACTGATTGAAATAAAGCGGTGTACCTCAGGCTGAATTAACGAGCTTGTAATGGTTATTTTGCTCGAGTTTTTTTTTAATTGATTTTGTTTTTTTAGTTTTTAGGACAACATTGGTCGATCTGGACAACATTGGTCGATCTGGACAACATTAGTGACTAAATGTGGAAGAAAAGGGACTAAAAGGCAAAACGAGCAGGGTAGAATGGGGCAAGTTTAAGCTGTCCCAAGCAAGCTACAAGCCTGCCCAAGCCAGCACATTTCCAAGATGGAAATTTTGTCTATGTTTGATATCCATCATTCAAAAATTCATTTTTTTTTTTATGTCAACTTTTTTTTTTAACAACACATTCGATTAATAAAATAATTGTACACATAAATCCAAAATTTTTCTTGACCTTTTAACAAAAAAATATATTTTTTAAATAGCTATTACAACATTTATTAACCCAAGTGAGCATCTCAAGGCTAATCTTCTAGCCAACAGGATTACATTAAAAACAGAATTATGATTATTCGGCCATGGAAGATGATGCTACCGAAAATCGTACCTGATAGATCTCCCGAGCTTGAGGACTGAGAAAGAGTACGAACAGAGTCTTCCAGTACTCGAAACAAAGGTAACGAAGTATATTCTCGTCGTCCTTCCGATGTCTAAGTCAGATAAGGAATTTATATGAAAACGTATATTGAAATTGTATGTAAAAATGTACCTTAGCAATGAGCTTTGATCATATATTTATAGATGTTAGTTGTAGAGTTGTAAAGAATTCAATTGCCTATAGGCCTTATCCTTATCATATAGAGTGTTTGTGTTATAATAAAAGTGTTTTGTTTGAATTTGAGTCAAATTGTAATAGATAAGCGATTTGAATGAAGATAAAGGTCATAAAGAGTTGTAGCCAAAGTGAGATTGACATTTTTGGAGCCCGATCTCATGAAGCCCAACCTAAGCCTGTAGCTCGCTCTCAATCTTTGGGGCATAAACTCGACCTTAACATAAAGCACGACCTTGTGCTTGAGTAAATGTGCGGGGGAAAATCGAGCTACATAGTTCGAGATAGGGGCTTAAAACCTGATCTCGAGCTCGCTTATGCGAGCCTAATGATGTTGTGGCCCAGGGGAGAGAGTGACGAGCCTGACCATATAAACTCGAAGATGTTGAAGCCATAGGAGAGTGCTCGAGATTACCATGACCTCGAGCATGAGGTCGTGGATGGTCGGGTCACAAAGAAATTGTACACATCATAGGCTCCCATGCATCCATTTCAGGAGCTCATGCGTAATGTGGAAGTTCCTGGAATGAGATGCATAACTACATTGGGTTCAAAAATAGGCATGCTCATGTCGAGTCGATAAGCCCCTGAGCAAATAGACCTAGGATAACAATTTTTGACCATTTCAAAAAATTTGAAAGAAATGAGCACGATTTCGATCTTAATATATTTGAATGTGTTCGGACCTTACATTATTCAAAATTTGAAGGAAAGGGGCTCGACCTTGACCTTGTTAAAATTTTGAAAGGAAGTTGTATGCGAATCTTGTCTAAAAATTTGGAAGGAAAGAACTCGACCTCGAGCTCATAAATTTTTTTTGAGAGGAGGTCTAGACCCCAACCATGTTAAAAAATTTTGAAAGCAAGGAGCTCGATCTTGAGCTCATTAATAAATTCTGAAAGGAAGGACTTCATCCCGATCTCGTTAAAAATTTTGGAGAAGGAGAGCTCAACCACGAGCTCATTAAAAAGTTCTATTTTGAAACAAAGGAGCTCAACCTCAACCTTTGTGAAAGATTTTGGCATAAATGAGCTCGACCTCGAGCTTTTGCCAAAAACTTGAAATGAAGAGCACGACCTTGAGCTTGTCCAGAAGTTGGCATGCATGAGCTTGATCTCGAGCTTTGCCAAAATTTGAAGAGCTCAACCAGGAGCTCTGCTAATTTTAAAGTGAAAGAGCTCGACCTCGAGCTTGTTCAGAAGTTGGCATGCATGAGCTCGACCTCAAGCTTTGCCAATTTCAAATGAAAGAGCTCGAACTATATGTTAGGCCCTCCAAGCACAATGTTGAATACTATCTTGAGCTCTGAGGCTGGAATTTTGCCAATGTATTCAGCTCGAGGTTAGGCATTCCCAATGCCCAATGTTGAATAATATCCCAAGCTCTGAGGCTGGGATTTTGATATTGTATTGAGCTCGAGGTTATGCCCCACCAGCCCAATGTTGAGCAATTATCCTAAGCTCGCTGAAATTTTTGAGAACTTAGCCTAACAAGCTCGTGATGATGCTAAAGTGTTAAGAGTTTATTTAGTAGCATGCTAAGGGCACAACCTTATGCTAAATGTTAGGGTTGATTTAGTTGCGTGCTCAATGCATGACCTTATGCTAAATGTTAGGGTTGATTTAGTTGTGTGCTCGAGACACGGCTTTACGCTAAATGTTTATTTTCAAGAGGGAGGAGTAGTATAAAAGCAATTTTCTATATCATAATAAAGTAAGTGCTCGAGGTTATTTTAGCGCGAGCTTTTGCAAACCATGAACCATTCATAAAAAGATGAAAGAGGGCGCGCAGGCCTAAACTGAAAAGTAAACTTCCTAAGAGAGACACAAACCCGAACTACCAAACTAAACTTATGGGCACGCAGGCCCGAACTATAAAAGAAAACTAAGGAAAAAAAACTAGCCTAAATACTTGGGGACAAAGACTGCTACTCACAATAGAGTTTTAGGTTGTCGTCATTCCAAGTGTGACCTGCCTTCCAGGCTCAAGCTCGACCTTTACCAATTTTTCCATATAGATCATTCTCTCACAATGTTCAAGCTCAAGCGTTGAAACCTGTATGCCATCGGTTTTAATTTTTTGGATGCTAGAGACATAGCACTGTCTAGCCACCGTTTGGTTTCCTTGAACTACTTCTACTCCATTACTTGTTGAAAATTTCAGGGCCAAGTGGAAAGTTGAGACAACAGCCTTTATCCCATTAAGCAGTGACCTTCCAAGTATTTCGTTGTAGGCCATTGGAGCTTGGACTACATGGAAAGTTGTGACCCATGTTACCTGCTTCCCTTCTGATCCCAAAGTTACAGGTAATTCAGCAATTCCTTTCGATGTGACAACTCTATAGTTGAACCTCTGAAGAGGGGCTCTTACCTGCTTGAGTTGTTTGGTTGATATACCCATCTGAAGGAATGCCTCATGGGATAATATATTAGCTGCACTTCCACTATCTACAAGAACTCTCTTTACTTCAAAGTTAGTGATGATTGCTGATATGACCAAGGTATCGTCATGAGGAAATGACACTCTTTTTGAGTTCTCTGGTCTGAAAGTTATATCTTTCATTCTATCAAGGCCTATACTTGAAACTGTTGGATTTGGCCTGGAGTGTAGTTCGGATTCATTACTTGAGTCTCCTCCTGAAGCTATACCTCCGACAATGATATTAATTGTACCAGCTGTTGATTGTGGATTTTCTCAATCTCCAGTTGCCTTGTCCTTATTCAAGTCATTCCTCGAGTGCTTGTCATAGCTTACATAGGCACCCAAAAATCCCCTCTTTATGAGAGCTTGAATTTCTCGATTTAAAGCGAAGCAGCCTGCAGTTGTGTGCCCGTGCTCTCGATGAAACTCACAATACTTGTTTCTGTCCTGGGACTCAGAAGGGGACTTCATCCTTGATGGATATTTGAGCTCTTTCATATCTCTGATCTCCATCAAAATGTTAGACCTTGTTGTATTCAGGTGAGTAAAAACTGCTGAAGGGTTATCATGACTTATCTTACCTTGACGAAGATCTTGATGCAAATTAAGCTCATGCGGCCTTTCATACTCTGACTTAGTTGATGGTGTGGCATCTTTCCTTGGGAACATAGTCTTCTCCATGTTGATGTACTTCTCAACTCAGGTAAGTAGGTTGGTTACTAATGTTGAAGGGGTCTTTGGTAGAGACATCTTGAACACTTCACACCTTATAGCATGTGTTAAAGCTAAGACTCAGTTGTGATATAAAGGTCTGGGATCTAAAGTCTTTCCTTGTTAAAAGTGTCTCATTCTGCCCTTGGCAAAGCTACATGAGAGAAGCTACTGTTTTTCGGATGCGCTTACTGCTAGCAAAGAAGGTAGAGAACTTGTCGGCAAGATTCGAGAATAAGGCTATGGAATTGGGCTCTAAGGTTGAAAACCAATCCCTAGCAGCGTTTGTCAATGTTTAAGGAAAAGCCTTACACATCACCTAGTCTGGGGCAACTTGCAGGTTCATGATGTCAGTATAGATATTGAGATGGTTGATAGGGTCGGTAGTTCCATCATATTCTTTTATAAGGGGGTATTGGAATCATCCAACAAGGAGAATGATAATATCTCAAGAGTGAATGGTGTGTTAAGGATAAAGGCTATCGTCCCTTAGCCTTCTGCATTAGGCCCATCGTGACTCCTTCTTGAATTATCTTGGCGAGTTCACTAGATTCTAATGTCACTTTTTCCGAGGCTGAGGCCATATGGGGTACACCCAAGGTTCCAGTACAAAAAGAACA